GAGGAGTGCAAATGGGAATGAGAGAGGGGTACAAACAGGGAGAAAGCAGCCATGTACGCATTAAAACAACCATCACACAAACCAACAAAGGGGTCTAACACTAAATAGATCTCATGCTCCGATTGAAATAATATTCCTCATTCCTTTCTATTCATGTCCTGTCCTTCGACTACACTGCCCGACAACAGCCACCACGGTCATCTAGGACACACTTCCTTTGCCTTTCCTATAAGTCAAGGCCAGACATCCAGGTGGCAGCGCACGCTGGATTCCAACATGTCTGCTTCCTGTTAAGAGGCTAAATTAATGAACCAATAAACAAAATGACTTATCAGTGGGCCGCAAAAACCAAAGGAGTGAATGGGGGGACTGACTGCAGGGCAACAATGGAAAGCCCTGAGCCAACAGGTTGGAGAGTGGTTGAGGATTAGGTGGCGTCCGGTTTCCGCTGGAGCCCGTCCTGTCCGGTGGGGGGACGGAAAGTGCTGAGCTCACACACCGGCAGCACAATACACAAATCTCCATGGCCCACCACCACCACGTTGCACAGGAATGTCATACAGAGGAAATATGCACCCAAAACATGCCCCGGAATACTTTTTCAGCAAAGTGCCAACATAGGGGGAAATGGAGCTATGTGGCACCTGGGAGTACTTGGCTGGTTACTGTTAGAATAATGGCACAAATGTCTTTGTATGAGAACACAGACACCAAAAGTGTATTGTTCTGTGTTTTGTTCAAGTTACTCTACTGTTGCACTGTCAACCATACCAGAAAGTAGGCATCTCTTTGGCCTACATATGCCCAGAGAAGAGCCATCTTTGCTCATCCTCATGACTAGCCAATGCTATTATGCCATATTAAGTGCTTCCTATGAGTTTCTAACCCTAACCCTTATCATTTACTTATTAACTGTACCTCTGGATCCGAAAAAGCAATAGGATATGACAAACGACATTGCCTATATAGGCCTATTGAATTAATTAATTCTAAAGCAAAGGCTAAATTTGAGCGATCAATTAAAAAATACATTTGCATCAGTAAAACGGCATATTTTTTATTTATTTATTTAAAACATTATTTAAATATTGGCCACTACTCCGTTTCCTGTCATCTCTTGTAGAATTCATTGAATTATAATGGGTCCTAAATTCAACATGATAGCGCATGACACTTTCAAGAAGCAATTTACTCAGTCCCTCCATTATCTAGCCCACACTGAACCTCCGTGGGAAGAGGTCAACATCAACTTGGCACAAGATCACAGAATCACATTCCAAGTAAATCACAGCCAATCTCCCGAAACTTCCCCATTCCCCATTTCCAAAGGGTAAGAAAGAAAGGCGCTTTGATATGAGCATGCTGAAAGTGCAAACCTAGTCTGATAAGAGGATCCTTAATGATTTCTTGGACTATTAACACGATGTGATCATAGGCCAAGTAAATCTAGTCAATCCACAGTATCCATAACGATTCCTTAAGCTATGGATCGCAAGGAGAGACATGGAGTGTATGTAACACTGTAGGCCTTTGCACCCCATCTGATCATGAACGAAATGTCACAACAAACCAGTCCCAGAGAGGTTCCCAGAGAGGTTTCCTTCTGATTACGATCAACAAGTTGGCTCCAGCACCAGAGACCGCACTGCTGATATTATGTTGCACCAAAATAACAATTGCTCTGGTCTTTCTTCATAATGACTCTCCGGGGAGTAAACTGGGGTGAATCCTCTCGTTTTGTCATGTATTCACTCTATCGTCTGTGTCATATATCAAGGCTGTGCATCCACACAAAACTGTGGGATACAGATAGGGAATACTGTTCAAATTTAGCGTCTGTTTATCGTTTTAAGAGACAGTTGTCAAATAAGCAAAAATACTTATTTATTTACTGGCATACACAGAACAGCGCAAAGTCTAAATAGTCAGTCACACATGGGTCGTGTGAAACGGGATGTTGCGATTCAAATAGTGTCACATTCAGGACCTCCACACTTGCCAACCATAATAAAATCTTCTTCATTCAGAGTGCAATAGAAAAACTAAAAGGAATGTTGTCATCTTGTAGCTGGTTACACTGAAAACTCAGTGATGATGTTGCTTATGATCATAAACCCACAGGAGAGTTGGAAAATGGAGATGGGAAAAGAGGGGGGGGGGGGGGGGGGGGGGGGGTAGAGCCTGGGAGCAATAAAATATGTGTAGAGAGAGAGAGAGAACGAAAGAGAAATAATGAGGGGGAAAGAAAGAAAAACTGAGGAGCAAAATAAATATGGAGGCAGGATTTTACATTACATTTAGCAGATGGTCTTATCCACAGCGACTTACAGTTAGAGCATTCATCTTAAGATGGCTAGGTGAGACAACCACATATCACAGTCGTAGTAAGTACATTTTTCCTTAATAAAGAAGTTATCAGCAAAGTCAGTGCTAGTAGGAACAGACAAGGGAATAAGAATGACAGACGTCTTATTTAAGATACTCTTATCTAATCAGGAAGACAAAGATGCAGGCAGTACCAGTAGTTACTGCACATAAAAACACACACACACACACCCAAGTCAATTACTACCCAACAAATCACTCACCACACGGAAGGCACAGTCATTCAGCTTCAGCGTCACCAACAATTTCACTTGACATCACTTTAGGGGGAGGAAAACTGGGCCTAGATTACTGGAAAAGGGAACTCCTCCTTTGGGAGAAAATAACCTTACCAGAACTCATTTACTGGTTCCATCAGGATTCTTCCCACAGAAAGTATTGTAAAAAAGAGCCCAACAACATTCAACATTCAGACTGTGTGTAAACACGAGCATTTGGAAACTGAGTGTGCGTCCCAAAATGACACCCTATTCCCTAAATAGTGCTCTACTTTTGACCATAGGGTGCCATTTGGAACGCATATAGTTGATCCTAAGTCATATTTGCCCAGCTCCGGGATGAGTGTGCACAAGGCTTTACTGTGGGTGACAGGGTGTGGGCATGGACAGCTCGACACAATCCAAGGAGCAGCCGGGACAAATGTTTGTCTTTCTATGGTAACACAAGGTATGTGTACTTTTGTGCCAGCGAAGAATATGTGTAAGGAAGGGCGTTCTTTTTAAAGGAGGAAAACTTTGTCAATGTCAACAGTGAGTCAACTGGAACACACTGCATGGAGGAAAGGGGGGGGACGTACGTGCATGCGTGTATGCTTGCGTGTTTGTATGTGTGTGTGTGTGTACTGCATGCATGGTTGTATCCATGATTTCTTCCACTGAAAATGCCAAGCTCATTCACCTTACATTGTAGATGTCTGTATTCAACCTCCCATGGAATATCACCATGTCCATCTGACTCCATCTACTCCCTTTCTCAATCCAGCGCTTCAATCCATTTTCATGTAAGGTGGGAGGAGTACACCCCAAATGGCATTCTATTCCCTATGTATAGGGCTGTGGTCAAAAGTACTGCACTATATTAGATAATAGGGTGCCATTTGGGACACAGCGCAGGAGTCCTCCCAAAGGAATTCCTCAGACCAGCAGTAATCTGGGAGGCTCCTCAGTAAATGGAAGAGGAATGCAGTGGAGAAGAAGGGGAGGGTGAGAGGAGCCAGTGCCTACAGCTCAACACTGCACCTCACTGTTCTACCTTTACATTCCTCACCATTTTATCACAACCTTTCTCTCAGTCTCTGTGTGCGAGTGTTTCTCGCTCACCCACCCCACTACCTCTTTCTCCTTTTCCTCTAAAACTATGCCCTGACAGAAATAAAATGACATGACATGTTCATTACCAATGGAGGGGAAACTAAGAAAATGTGTGTGTGTTCCAAAATCAATGGTGCAGCAACATGCCTAGTGTTCAGGTGATGGTAGTTTTGTGGTGCTCTATCACAGAACAGCACCTAACAGGCCTGAGCATGCCAACACTCGCTCTCACACACCCTGCTGCAGTACCACACAAAACATTCACATGGTGAAACCTTGTCTTTCACAGCAGCTCTGAGATAGAGAGAGTGAGAAGAAGAGTGAGAAGTTGAATGTGAAGGAGAGAGAGCATGCCCAATGGCTTAAGGAATGCCAATTTATCTGATGCATGTAACAAACAAAGCCAGAGACAACCAGAGGGGCTTGCTTTCTCTCCTCCTCCTCTCCCCTCCTGCCGCCTTGAAGAAGTCAATTCATCACCAGTATAGTCTATGAGTATGACTTGTGAACCTCCCATATTTGATCAACTTCTGACATTTTGGCAGGACTCAGAGAAGAATGTAGATGAGGACTTGAATGCAACATGGTTGCAACATGACTACAAAGCCCAGGGGTTGAGTGACGGTAAGACTACCTATGAGTATCTTAGATAAGAGAATGATTGACAAATGAGTAGGACACTAGCTTATAAGCATGGCTACTACCAAAAGTGGGCACCTCACAAACACTTTTCAGTTAAGAGGAAAACGGCTGACTTAAAAATATATTTTTAAGTACTTTTATCTTGATACATTTTATCTCAAATCACATGCATGGCCTAAGAGTAGCTGAATGTTGTTACAATGTTTCTACATTGTAGTTTGGGTTCAAGGTCAGGGATAATGTAGTGACATGTATAAGTAGGGCTGCACATTCCCTCCATTTCAGAGGAGTCACATTACCCCAGGGGAGAATTCCACCACAATGATAGCTAACACTATGATAAATAACCAGGGCTTTTTGATATTTGCATGTTTTATAACCAACACAAATGGTAACGAACAACTTCTGCTAAATTTCTCTATGCAGACTCACGTCAGCTCACACACACACGCACCCGCAAACACAGCAAGTCCATGATGCTAGAGGGGATAGAGGCCAGCTCTCAGAATGCCCAGCTGTCAGTGAGCCAAGATAACACAGGAACATTATACCTTACCTCGACATGTGTCGTTGACGGCCTCGTAGCCAGGCATGCATTGGCACTGTCCAACAGGCACCACCCACTCTCCGTCCATCGTGCAGTAGATGCGGGGCGGCACCTCACTCACCGCGTTCCTCCATGCAGGCCCCCACCACTTCCCTCAGGGCCTGGTTCACCCCCCCACCCGCCACTGTCTCGGGGAAGGCTGCCAGGCTCTTGACGGTGGCCGGGCAGGTCTTGTAGTAGACCCTGACAGAGAGCAGCGCAACACAGGCCCCGATGTCCTGGAAGGCCAGGTAGAAGCCTTTCCTGCTGAGGCTCTCTACCACCCGCGTCTCTGTGTTGATGCGCAGCTCGTTGCGGCTGGTGATCTCATCCGGCGCGATGGTGGCCACCTTCTTGAACTGGCCCTTGCGAAAGTTGGTGCCGATGTCGGCGTCCGACTCAGAGGAGAACAGGTTGAAGGTCTCCTTGCAGGTAAGCGACGAGCCGTCGAATGAGTTGCAGTCACGCACAATGAACTGCAGCTCCACGAAGACGCGAGAGGCCGACGGGCGCCGCTGGATGAAGGTGGTGCGCAGCCAGTTGTCCTGCTCGTGCTCGCCCACGTTACACACAGAGTAGGTGTAGAACTGGGAGCCATTCAGCCTCCTCTGGACCACCTCCCACTGAAACAACCACACAGACAGACCATCAGGGCTCCAGTCACATACGGACTCTGGGGGATACATTACTAATAGTGGGCTGGAACAAAGTTAAAATGTTCAATGATTATGGGGGGTGCCCAACTGCCCATGTTGACATCTTTAAAATGCTAATGGTGGTGCCTTAATTTGTTATACGAGTTCCCAGCTCCCCCGGCACTTCTGTAATTTGAACCCTGGAGACAAAGTGAAAGCATGTGAGAGAGTGAGGGAGACCCCAAAGGAACATATTAAGACATAAGAGTGGCGAGAAAGGACGAGGCCTTAGCGAAGGAATGAAGCCAGCCGATTTTGACAATAGCATTGAAATAAACTGAGGTCTGTCAACAATGAGGGATCTTATGCAACAGATGTTGATCCATGTATCCAACTCTTGCTGCCACAGAAGTTCAACATTTTAGTGAGAAATCTTCAACGTGCATCAGCTTAATAGTGGCTGCTGAAATACATGTGTCCCCACAGGGGCTGAGCCTGTGGTTCTCTCTGCATGTTACCACTGCTATTAATTAAAGGAATGTGCTTTGTTGGCTGACTGTGTGGCATCACATAAACGGGGGCATGCAACAGGAGAGCGAGCGCCTCCATAAAACTACTACTACTACCCTAACCCTAAGAAATGGAACACTAGTCACTTTAATAATGTTTACATATCTTGCACTACTCATCTCATATGTATATACTGTATTCTATTCTATAATATTCTACTGTATCTTAGTCCATGCCGCTCTGTCATTGCTTGTCCATATATGTATATATTCTTAAATTCCATTCCTTACTAGATTTGTGTGTATTGGGTATATGTTGTGAAATTGTTAGATATTACTTGTTAGATATTACTGCACTGTCAGAGCTAGAAGCACAAGCATTTCACTACACCCGCAATAACATCTGCTAAACACGTGTATGTGACACATTTGATTTGATTTGAATGACCACTCAAATGTAAATTACACAAAATTAGACCCAAGCACGCATACCACACAAAAGCACACGATAGCAAAAAACAATAATCTGTTGTGTTTTACTGTGATGAAAGACAACATATGTTCTCCTTATGAGAAAAAGATAGCCAACTTAACTCGCTACATCTAAATTTCCCCAAAAAGCACCATATGCTGCCGATGTGCCCTTGAGCAAGGCACTTAACCCTAATTGCTCCTGTAAGTCGCTCTGGATAAGAGCGTCTGCTAAATGACTAAAATGTAATGTAAATGTAAATATGCTCCAAACTTTAAGTCAATTGCACACTTACATACAATTCTGAAATGAGGGACTTAAAACCACATGAAGCCACAAGTATTCTCTACCACACTTGCTATAGGTGCCATTATCTCCCTTGGAATAGTCCAGACATGCTGCACACTAAAACCCAACCCCCATTAGAATAATGTGATCATTTCACATATTCAACTTGAACGTTACACTTTTAGTAACGTTTGTACATGAGCACCATGTTACAGCACGCACTCACTAACTGTAAGTCGCTCTGGATAAGAGTGTCTGCTAAATGACTAAAATGTAAATGTAATAAGAGTTGTTAAAGTAGTGTGAAGGTAAGAAAGTCAGACATGGCATACTATGTGCTACCCCATCCATACTTCCCCAAAGAGAAGAGTATAGAGACAGGGCAATGGAAATAATGGATGGATACTCACCCCTTGCTTGTATCCTTGTTCATAGGGCCAGGTCAGCCAGCCTAGCTCACTCCCTGATGCCCTCATATCCAACAGCACCTCTGCGCAGGGGAAAAGTCCAATTTAAGTCAAATTCAACCAAATAGGTCTTGACCTACTAAAATGTGATTGACTTACACAGAGAGCTGGGACATGTACATTTTGAAGTTAATTTGCTTCTTTCTATTAGGTATTATCATTTGAACTCTAATATCTTACTCCATGAATAGTGATTAAATGTCTAAATCCCCTACACTGCCTCAAGTGAGGCTTAAACATAGGCCTATGTTAGTGACTTTTACAATTAAAAAGGAAGCTTAGGGTGTAATCATTAACTTGAGATGGAATATCCTAACTTTATCATCATTCAACTGTGCTGCGCAATAAGTGGTACCAGGCATGAATGTTCAGCCCAGCCATGCAGATAATTATTCACAAGTCTCTCTTATGTAGATTGTTAACTTGCACTGCACTAGTGTGAAATAGTTTTAAATTCCTTTTTAAAGGAAAACGAAACAACCTCTGCTTATTAATATTAAAATAAAAACGGATCTAATCATTTTATTTGAGTGTAGAACTACATGGCACAGTAGCATAGACTACTATTGCTAACATATTGCCTACTGTGTGTTATATTTAATATGTACACACAATATCTTACTGCAATCTTATTGATCTAGAGACAATATAAAAGTTCAAAATTCCAACAGGTAGTGTGGCACTCTATAACGTAGCAAGATTGCTCTCAGCACACCCTCATCTTGATAAAGAGGGTAGATACTGATAATCCAATGCGGGCGAAACTTGAACATCTGAAAATGTATAAGGGATTGATTTAAAAACAGTTTCTGGTCAAAATCAACAAACTAAAAAACTTCTACAAGTTGCGAAATTGTATCAGTAGCCCATGTTCTTGCCCTGTGCTTTAAACATCCACTTCCTCGTGGTCCCACAACCTGAGCAGAGGAGAATATACTTCTTGCAACAGGAACATTTTGATTTCAAATAGTTGCCAAAGTTTGAAAAGTAGTCAAGACCTTCGCTTACCTTCTTTAGTTTGCAGTGTAATAAATATACCGTTAATTAATACATAGGAAAACAACAAGCGCTTAATTCCACGGGAATCCATTTGGGAAAGTTTTCTTTTTATTTCTAGGCTTGGATGGGACACTTCCACGCTCTCATCAGTTGCTGAAATAAACCATGAGCTCGCGAAAGCCTCATTCACAAATGAGGACGTCACCAACCCCGCCCGTTGGAATGTCATCAATTCCAAAAAGGAGGGGGTGTGGCAAAGCAGAAAGTGGCATTGGCATTTATGATTTTGATGGCCTCAATCATTTACCTGAGCGACAAGCAAAGCAGATATCAATACAATGTTGGCCTATTTACCTTTTCATAATTATTTCTTTGTGTACAAAATAAGAAGAGAGAATTCTGCGTGAAACTCATGATAAAAATGTAGCAACCAGATTATTATCATTTTCATATAATCTAGAATCTGAAGCAAAGACAACTGAATCCATAAAGTCAAGAGAAATACAATTGAAAATAATTGTACTAATTGGCTTTAGAATTTGAAATACCATACCCTTGATGCATATAAGTGAAGTAGAAAAAAAAGATGTGTTCTCAGGGGGAAGGATAGAGAGGTGGGAGAACGGGGAATGGGGAGTAGGAGGGTGTGCTGGTATGAGTATGAATATAGGGAATTAAATCATCCATCACCTAGCAACTCTTTTGCAAAGGAATTTGGGAGTCAAGCTCTGTCTACCTTTATTATTTGTTGTACAGTGTAACTATGTGAGCATAATATGAATGCTTATCTGTATCTTGTAGTTTTCACTAAAAACCTCCTGAATATTTTGTCAACCTGTTAGATTTTCTTGGTAAATGTTTGCCTTTGAATGCTGTCTTCACAATAGATGATTACAATACAGTGTGACATTGATTTTGCATGGGTCACACCTGTGGGCCAACTCTGCGGGAAAAGATTGGGCTTCTCTCTGTTTCCCCGGCAGAAGGGCCCCAGCCATGTGCGAATCCTCCCTCCCCACCCCGTCTCCCCGTACCCTGGGGCTCTGGTTTCACAAAGCCCCTCTCACACCAGGGAGAATGCCTGGAGCCTTATGAAATGCCACAGAAGAGTGATTCCTCATGAAACCCAGACAAAAAATACCATGGTTTTGGGAATTTTCACAACATTTAATCCATAGAATAGTCCTTTGGAGGAAGGATTGTTGACTTATATTTGACATTTGTATCTAAAAGCATAATTAGAAAGAATTTATCAAAGTTGGTTTATTTATGACAGTTTGACCTTACCCAGGCCTCCTTTAAGACTCCATAGTGTTTCATCTGTAGATGCTACAAATCTGTAGGGTATTGGGGGGTAGTCAGACTAACAGATGAGGCTCTCACACATGCTCTCTTGGTCGGTCCACACTTTCTACTGCTGCTGCTGTCTGTTGATGGGGCTGGGTAACAATGGGCCTGCTGTCCCCCAGTGAAGGGTGTTTGAGGGGGCTGACTTGGTTGGGAGAGCTGCCAAGCACAGGTGTAGTAAGTCAACTCAGCAGCATCAGAGTGGGGGGGGGGACAGCATGCCCATTGTTACCCAGCCTCAACAACACACAGCAGCAAAAGCAGCAAGTGTGGACCAACCAAGAGAGCATGTGTGAGAGCCTCATCTGTTAGTCTGATTACCCCCCAATACCCTACAGATGAAACCAAACACATGACACAGTTGATTTGTGACTATGTTATACCTGTTTTTGGCTCTGTATACGACACTGTTCCCCATTGCCTGTCAGATTTACAGCTATTCGGTTCCTAAGTAGTCAAGGTATTTTTTTATACAGTGAGACCAAAGTGTGGGGTAGGGTCAAGTTCCTTGAAGACACTGATCTAAGGTCAGTTTTGCGTTATGAAAGTCTGGGACTGGAAAACACTCATGCTCTGAATAGAGAGGAAAGGATGGCATTGGTTTTTACAATCCATATGTCAACAAACCCAATACGAAGCAATCATTCTTATATTGAAACACACTGAGTGTACAAAACATTATGCTCTTTCCATGACAGAGACTGACCAGGTGAATTCAGGTAGGAAAGCTATGATCCCTTATTGATGTCACTTGTTAAATCCACTTTAATCCGTGTAGATGAAGGGGAGGAGACAGGTTAAAGGAGGATTTTGAAGCCTTGTGACAATTGAGACATGGATTGTGCGTGTGCCATTCAGAGGGTGAATGGGCAAGACAAAAGATTGAAGTGCCTTTGAACAGGGTATGGTAGTAGGTGCCAGGCGCACCGGTTTGTGTCAAGAACTGCAACGCTGCTGGGTTTTTCATGCTCAACAGTTTCCTATGTGTATCAAGAATGGTCCACCACCCAAAGGACATCCAGCCTTCTTGGCACAACAGTGGGAAGCATTGGAGTCAACATGGGCCAGCATCCCTGTAGAATGCTTTCAACACCTTGTAGAGTCCATGCCCCGACAAATTTAGGCTATTCTAAGGGCAAAAGGGGGTGCAACTCAATATTAGGAAGGTGTTCTTAATGTTTTGTACACTCAGTGTATCTCCACACCTGTAACAAGGAGCTCTCTCTCATAAGTTCTCTAACCTTGTGCGGGAATCCAAGAATCATGACACAACAACAAAGTTATTCAGAAATCTCATCTAAATGAACTCCTCTTTGGAAATGACAGATCATCCATCCCCCTGGGCTGAAGTGAATAGGCACTCTATATTCATTCAGTCGTTATCACAACATTCCGATGCCCTGAGCTGGAACACACTCATATTCACTACCTCCCTGTTTATTGGAGACACAGGTCACGCTAGAGAGGGCTAGTGAGAGCAGATGTTCTATTTGCTCACCCAAGTAGAATGAGCTGATCCTGAGGCCATGCGTACCTCCTCGATATCAAATTACACTACTAGTGTCAGAATACATTCAAGACAATGCCTTGAAGGAAGTGCACTGGAGAAAGCACATCCAGAATGTGTGAGATGGACTCCGGAGGGCTTAGGGCGGAAGAGAGTCCAGAGGGCATGAGGTGTGTCCATTGATAGCCACCTGTTGATTCTGTTCCAAATGACCTAACCTTTTAGATTACACGATCAGGTGTATGTGTGTGTGAGAGTTTGTGCGTGTGTGTGTCTGTGTGACAGAGAGAGAAAGACAGAGAGAGAGAGAGAGAGAGCAAGAGAGGGAGGGAAAGAGGAAGAGAAAGATAAACATAAAGAAATAATTAAAAGAAAGTGAGAAAAGGAAAGAGAGAGAGAGAGATGTAGTAGAGAAGTGCCAGGTTCTTCAGGGGGTTTCCAGGCAGAATGGTTGACAATGCTGAACAGTGATGTCATGCTGTTAGGCTTGTAGTTGCCCCTGCAGACCTATGGTGGTCTGCGGTTTGCTGAGGTAGGCATGTGAGGCATGTCTGTCCCTCCTCCATATGCTACCGACCCCCACTTCCTGGCAAAGAAGGGGTGTTGTGCCAGTGAAAGTGTTAGGACAGCTATATAAAGTGTGTGTGTATGCCTGTGTGTGTGTGCTTACGTACGGACACGCAAGACTGTTACCGAAAGTAAGAATTTCACGAAGTGTTGATAGTTGTTGTTGTGTTGTAGTGTGGTACTTTTGCTCACCAGCAATTTGCCTTATGTAGACCAGGAGAAACAGGGTTGGTGAAAATGTAGCTTCACAAGTCAGGCTTACATTGTTACTTGGAAAGACTATTAAACATGAGAAAATCAATGCTCAGAGGGAAAATATTTCAGAGCCTTTTTGATTGAGCCAAGTGATGTTCTTATACAGTAGGCCTTTCAACCACATCTTCTAATCCTCTCATCATAACAAAGGCTTGTGTACTGTATATAATAGTTGCAGTGCCAAATAAGGCTATAGTTACCCAGGAGGAAATTTTTCTATTTTTCCTTTATTTAACTAGGCAAGTCAGTCAAGAACAAATTCTTATTTACAATCAAGGCCTACCCCTGCCAAACCCGGACAACACTGGGCCAATTGTGCGCTGCCCTATGGGACTCCCAATCACGGCTGGATTGTGATACAGCCTGGAATCGAACCAGGGTCTGTAGTTACACCTCTAGCACTGAGATGCAGTGCCTTAGACCGCTGTGCCACTCGGGAGTGTGTGTGGCTAGAACCTGCATATGAGGAGATATCAATTCACTTCCCTGTTTACAGACACGGGTGGTGCCGTACAGCTGCCATCTTCTTGGTCACCAGGGAAGGTGGTTTGAAAGCGGTGATGTTTCTCTAGTCTTAACACACTAGGAAACACACACATACACATACACACACCAACACACACACACACGCACATGCACAAAAACACACACGCATTCACTTTCTCATGCTGCTCAGCTGGTGAAAACAGAGAGTAGATTTCAACAATTAGGCGACCAAATACAGCTGTAACCTCCATTGAGGCAAGTGTGGGAGAAAGGGGCGCGAGCATACAAACAGGTGTCGCCCAGCCATGTGAGTGCTAAGTTAAGGGTCAATGGGACTTAGGTAGTTACACAGTACTGGGGGAACAAAGTAGTGTGTATGACAGCTGCCTGTGGAATGGCACTCCACCAGCACGTCTCAGAAATCTTGTTCCTGCTTGTCTGCTCTCTTTCAACAGCTCCCAGTTCCAAACCACAGAGAAACCTATCTTTTCTCCAGGATAAGACAGGAATATGAATGTCTGTGAAAAGGTTGGCGTGTAAAGTGTGTGGTTGTGAGACGGCAGTGATTCAGTGAAACATGCGTGAAGAGAAACAGTTATGTAACGCATGTGGATGTTGGATTAAGCAAGCATGGAGTCCAAAGATCTTAGTTGGGACACTGGCTCTCCAGCCAGGGGCGCTGCACTGCCTCTCAACATGTGTGTGTGTGTCTGTGTACACTGAGTGTACAAAACATTAGGAACACCTTCCTAATATTGAGTTGGACCCCCTTTAGCCCTCAGAACAGCCTCAATTCATCGGGGTATGGACTCTACAAGGTGTCGAAAGCGTTCCACAGGGATACTGGCCCATGTTCACTTCAATGCTTCCCACAGTTGTGTCAAGTTGGCTGGATGTCCTTTGGGTGGTGGACCATTCTTGATGCACACGGGAAACTGTTGAGCATCTCCGCCCCTTCATCTATTGAAGTGGATTTAACAAGTGACATCAA